ATCTTACTTCAAACAGTTCAACAGTAAGAAAAAATATATTGGAGACCTTCAAAAAACAATTTAATATCACACACATAGAAACCAACCCTTCCGGAAGAAGAAAACCCTAGCTAGAGGGAAATCTCTCTCCTCTCCACGCCTCCCAATAGAGAAAAAAGTGAATCGATCACTCTGGGAGGTCTAGAAAATTCCAGAAACCAAACCGCCCTCTTCAGAAAATTAAAAAAAAACTAACAATACCTAGGCGCCCAAGATCAGATAAAAAACAAAGAGTCCAACTTTTCTAGGACTCTTCCCCGTACTCCAGTTCTTCCTGATTTTGATGTCGAACAGTAGATCACCTTCCTAATGACTAGATCCCAACTCAAACAGATAGATTCTTGGCGACCGCACACAATCTCTTACAAAATTACAAAGCTCACAAATAGCACACTTCTAAAATCACTCGGAAAGAAAAACACTCAAACTATTACAAAGCACTGAGAACTTGGAGAATTATGCACTTCGAAAAATTTTGCACACCTTAAACAAAGAGAAGGGCTCCTTATACAGAGGCTATCGAAGCTTCGAGAGAGAGACAGCAAGGAACCACTTTATTCATTCTTATCTTCAAGGCTTCTATTATTGAGATGCCTTTTAACTTTTCCTTTGCGCATCTGAATTATTGAGTTGCTAACTTATCTTCATATTGTCCTATTAGGACCAGCTGCCAAAGCTCTTACTGTTCAGGATAGGGACGAATTTCACAATGGTGATGTTGACCTTAGTAAGAGTTGAGCGAGCGGATACTTTCTGTCTCGCTATCCATTGAGATGCCTTTACTTTTTTTCTTTCATCTTTTCGGCCATACGGAGGGACATGTCCTCAAGTTCGATGTCATCTTCGTCAATAGAAGGCTTGAGGTCTTCTGTAAGATCAAATTTGTCCCACCACTTTATCTCCATCACTCGATCAATGGCTGGAGGCAATCAAGAAACATCTAGTTGATAAGTCCATTTTAAAATCCATGGGAGGCGGAAGGTCTTAAAGAATTTGAACTGCTTAATGTGACTGAATTCTAAATAGCTTCTCCCTTTTCCAAAATTTTTATATCTGTCAGCTAATTCTTGACAAGGGAAAATATCGTCTGAGGCTCCCCATGAGGTCCACCAAACATAGGCCCAATCGGGGAAGGGGCCTTGAAAGTCTTCAGAAAACCAGATGAACCATGAGTGTCTAAAAATGGAGTTTTGTAGCGGAAATACTTTATACCAAGCATCTTGATAGTCCCAGTAGTTGAACATTCTGGGTCTTCTTTGGCTTGGTAATAAACCTGAGCTTGCTGGAGTCACCCCATGCTGACTTAGTCATAAATCTTACTATTACTAGCTTAAAATAAGCTAGTTCAGTTTTGTTAGGATCTCTGAAATAATGCTGGATTCTTGCAGATCCTGTATGCAACAAGATTTCCTCATAATATTTTTTGTCTTTATTTAGACCGCAAACAGTAAAATGATGACCATATGCAATGATGTCTTTTCAATCTACCAGTGAATCCTCATGTGTTAAATACTTGAGGTATAAAGCCAAAGATTGCAAGTGTGAGAAGAGATGAATGATAAAGGTGTTCGAGACATGTTACAACCTAAATCGGATATTTTACAACTGCCCCAATAATCTTGTAGAATTACAACAACTTCATAAATGTATGGGTATTGATCATCAATTGGTAATCGTGCTTATGTTAGGGAGCATACCTACACCATGCAACTTCTTTTAGTGGGTGGTTCCTACATATGGTGCAATGAAGCCAGTCCAGAAATGAATTCAGTAGAAAACCATGTTAGGGAGCTTCATAGGTTGACATGTGATCCCAACTCCCGTTTGAAGTCACTAGAGTCTTCTCAGCAACTAATTGTGGAGGGGATAAAGATAGTGTATGTCTTGAGCATTGCATTTATCATTGGGTTCATTTGTCTTTATATGTATAGGATTAAGAAATAGAATTAGGATGTATGTACTTAGATTTGGATATGGGTTGTTTTGGATACATGACACAGAAGTTGATATTTTGTGATTATGAACTTGATGTACCTAAATGTGCACTTATGTTTTGTCATGAATGTGAATTTTACTCCTAAAATCCTTATTGTGTTGTTTACCCAAAATGATGACTTATTGTGAATTGGCTTGTACAGATTCAACTCAGAATCCTTTTTTTTTTCAAAATTGTAAATTTGAATTGGATTATAAGAGCTAAGTATATAAATATGATAAATAAGATAAAAATGTAATATGATAAAAAAAAATTGACTTATTTCTTCCAAGTTGTAAATCTGAAATCAATTGATGACAAAATTGTAAATATGGAAGAATGTTTTCTCCAACCCCAGCATCATTTTATTTTTTTCTTTAAAATGTTAGTCTGTAATCAATTGATGATATTGAAATCACCAAGGTAATTCAGAATATAAATCACTTAATGATTTCAACATCAACGTTTCAAGATTGTAAATCCAAAAACAACTGATGATGTTGAAATCATCAAGCTATTTCAATATCCAATTTAATTGATTATTTCAACATCAACGTTTCTTGACTTGTTTCAAGATTGTAAATCCAAAAGCAACTAATGATGTTGAAATCATCAAGCTATTTTAGTATCCAATTCAATTGATGATTTCAGCACCAAGTTATTTAACTTACACACATTCACTATATTAATTAGAGCCATATAGAAAGATGATTCCAAACGCTTTAGATGACTGCAAGTCAAATGTATCATCAATGAAAAGTCTGTTTGCCGATTTGGATAGATACATGTTGCCGGCCAAAAAACCTTTCGGGTTCACAAAGTATTTAGCCAATATCTCATCCCAAAGTATATATTTAGCCTGTATCTCATTAAAAGCCTGTATTTAGCCTATACCTCATCAAGTCATTAGTATCACAATGTATCTAGCCTGTATCTCATCAAGTCAAATGTATCAAAAAGTATTTAACCTGTATAACATAAAATAGCTATATTCTCATAAAAAAAAACTGGGTTCACATTTGTTTTATGTCATCAAAAAATACCTGTATTCACATTAGTGTATTGGTGACCCAAATTACCTTCCTAGGTTCACATCACTTTTGTGTCACTAACCTAACAATGCGTCTCATAAAATAGAGAATGTATCTCAGCAGAAAAACAAATATAGGTGCATCCTATACCCAACCCAACCTTAACTGTATCTCTCCACGAAAAAGAAGAAAAAAAAATCTTATATCCCTAACTGCCCAAAAAAAAAACAAAGGGAACTGTATCTCTTCCAAAAAAAACTTGTAACATGTGTATACACAACATGCAGTAGAGACCATGTAAATAACTCCTTCAAAACCATTGCCAAACGCTTTTAAAACACTGCTCTTCAGGAACAATTTCCACAGCTCTTTGTACTAGATGAAAACAGGGATGTTCTAGTGGCCAATTCTAATGTCGTGCAAGGTGATCAGGTGGTTAGGCTCCCAAGTTTAGGAGAAATTTGCAGGATTCAGAATTAGAAAGCACAGTAGGGCTGATGCAGCTTCTGGATAATCAGCAATTTAAGGGTGGAGCAGAAGGACAAATGGTGCTGGGAATGGGAAACAGAGTGTTTTTCTATTAGATCCTGTAGCAGGTTACCGAGGACT